AGCCTAAGCTCTGCTCAAGTGACTGTATGGAACTTGGTTGCTGATGATATAACCTATAATGTGGGGTCGATCTTAATTCAGTTGTAAGAGTACAAAAAATATCAACATAAAAAATATTAAGTACCGAGAGCTAAGCAGTTTTCACATATACATTTGAATTAACACAAAAATAAGAAGTTTAATATAAAATTAAATTAATTAAACAAAATTTAGATATAAATTAAATATAAAATATGCTCTTTCGACGAATAAAACCACAGAAAAGATATCTCTTGTTATGCTATATGCGTAAAGAAGTGTGGCCGATGTCGACATCCCATGAGTCGAAAGAAAGCTTTTGTGAAATGGTAATGATCCTTTTCGCATTGGCAGGGTCGCGTAGCGCTCACGATAGTGCGACGAGCTGCTGTTCAACCAATGAAGAAGAAGCACTTAAAAATCAAGAATTCTAATTAACGCCGATCATGTGGTGCCATGATATGTCCCATAGAAGCTGAGACATCAAACAATTTTTTGATGCTTTTCCAGGTCATTGATTTGTTGAATTGGATTTGGATTTTTTCTTTGGAACTGTTTCAGATCAAACCACCACGTTTCCTCAGACTTCTTTTTCCAGACACCTTTGTTCGACTTGGATTCGAACTTGGGATGCCCACAGCACGAGCCAATGGTTATCCCAATTTTTTTAATCATATATACTCTTATTCATTTGTTACTTTGAAAGTTCAGCGTGACTTAAAAATTATTTTGGAACTTCTTCTATTTTTCATATAAAAGCTCATACTAAGCTTTAAGCTTTCATTAAAGATTAGTAATTGATCCAAAAATTAACAAATTTCCTACGTGAAATAAACAAGTTTTGCATATGTAAAATCTATTTGAAAAACGTAGGTAAGAAAAAAAAACTGAAAAATCTGTTGAGCTTTACGTCCGCTCAGACTTTCGTAGAACTTTGTGCTTTCAAAAGTGTAAAAAGTCATAAATTTATAGACAAAAACACTTGTTTATCTAGATTTTGTGATTTTTTCTTCTGTTATTTACTATCTTTGTTGCTGTTACTTTTTTTTTTAAACAAACATGAAAGTGTATGTCATCATGCTTTTTACTTTGACTAATTGCCTCACTTAAATTGTCGGCTCGGATTTTAATGCTCACACTGAAAGCTGCTGAACTTAAGCACCGAGTCAGCCCATCACGGTGCAAAAAAATTTGAAATGTATAAAAATATATTTATTGTGTAGAAGCTAAAATATGAAAAATATGAAAAAAAAAACAATATTAGTGAACCCCTATGACAATGCCGACGTTACGAGTCGATCTGTATATCTGTATGACTGTATGTATGTACACCAGTTATAGAACTTATGTGACAGTGACTTTTACTCCAGTACAGTGAGAGACTGTCGTCATTTGATTTATGGTGAGTCAACACTTTTATGACAACCGAAAAACCCCAACAAATGGCTATAAAAATAAAAATATTAATATAAATATAAATTAAAGTCGACAACATAATCCGGCGAAAAGTACACATGTAAATATTTATAAATAAAAAGACATGTGGTATACGTATACACCAGTTTGAGGCATACAAGCGACTTGTCGGATATCTTAATAAAAGTCTAGGTTAGCAAAAATGTTAAGCAAATGTGTTGCCGTGTTTTTTAAGACTTTTTTTAATTTTATCAAAACTTTCATTTATTTTGAAAATAAAAAGCTTTTATTGTATTGTTTGTTTTCGGTGATTTTTAACTTTTTTTTATTGAAGTGGCTTCTTCAAAATATTATTTATAATTTTTGAATGAAATAAAATCTTATTTTTTATTTTATTGAAAAATAAATATTTTACAAAGTAAATTAAAAGCAAATATTATAATTTCAAAGGATTTATCAAAGGAAGGCGGTAAAACATATCTAAATTTCTAAGATTTCTTACCTAAAAATCCATGAAAGCTTCAAAAAAAGCTCCAAACTTTTTACTTCGATTTTCTGTTTACTTCGTATTAAAACTAATTACTTTCCATCTAAATTGTCAGGCGAAAGCTTGCTACAATGATGAAAGCTTTCAAAAAGCTCCCGGGAGGGAGAGCGTTTACCTCGTTCCTTTTGGTTTCTAACGTTGATATTTCTTTAGTAGTTTAGTGAACTTATCATTACATAATTCACTTCGCAGGTGATAACTTTAATTTATAAAATCTCTGAAAAAGCTCTAACTGCTTTGTTTCTACTTTATATTTCCTCTGCATTAAAACAATTCATACATAATAAATTTATCATCGTACCATTCAATTTTCAGGTGATAGTTCTAATCCTGAAAGCTTGGCAAAGCCCAAGGCTTAGTTTCCATTTTCTATTTGCCTCGCTTTAAAACCTTTAATTGAATAATTATATTTTCAAGTGATTGTTTAAATTCTTGAAAGCTGCAATGACTCAGTCAACGTATTCTCCCATATTTCACTTTTCATGTGGTACTCCTAATTGAAGAAAGTTGTGAAAAAGCTTTAAGCGCTGAGATTCCAATTTAATTTTTCCATTTGCTTTGTTTTAAAACCATCCTCACACAATGAATTCATCATCGCCCTATTTATTTTTCATGCATGAAAGGTGCGTTAAAGCTCTAAGCTCTAAGCTTTCAGTTATCATCTTCTCTTTACTGCGCCTCAAAACCAAACACTCAATGAACTTATCATCGTAAACTTAATTTTTAAGTGATAATTTTAATTTCTGTGACAAGTATCACAAACCCACTGAATACGCGACAAATGGCAGACATTGCCTTCCCAAGCAGATGAAATACCAAAAAAACAGGGAACAGAAAACAACAAGAAAGAAATGAAAAGGTGAAATATTGCTAAAATGTAAAGAATCTGACAAATATGGCAATTGCATCCGCTGCACTTTTGATGAACGGCAAGAATACCTAAATAAATAATGAAAATAAAAAGCTTGAAAACAAAACAGAGCGAAAGCGGCACACAAAGGCGTTAAATAAATGATGAGCATAGCGGCCAAGAAAAAATTGGAACGGTGCAAGCAGTTGATGGAATGCAACTGGAAAACGTTCAAAATGCCATATTTTAACTAAAAAGGTCATGCAAAAGGGTGCGCTTGTACGAAAATTACAAAAAAAAAATTAAAATAAAATATAAATAAAAGAAAACAAATAAAAAATAAAAAAATCGAAAACCGAGAACCGAGAACTTAAGCCGTAGAAGGAAGTTGTATTGGGATTTGTGTGCACGCAGCGCTTGGCATAATTATTAAATTTCAAGTGAGAACCTGTTTGTTGAGAAAATGCAAGAAGAAAAAGAGCCAACGGTTAATATTAGTAGCTGTTACAACACAGCTAAAGCGTGTAATGACAATTGTGAACAGCATCAACATTGCGCGGATGTGCTCAACAGCTGCAGCATCCGTTGGCCGGCCCGGCGGTCAGCGAATGATGTGACCAGAAAAAAGAGCTAAAAATATTTGTTAAGAAAAAGTCAAGCCAGCCGGTCGCTGCGTACGCCAGGGCTTAAGCGGCTTGCATTTTGTTTCGTTTTAACTGCTTTTTTCAGCTTATTTGTTGTTATTTCTGTTGTTGGTAGCTGCTATAACAAGCGAATACAAGATAATAAATAATAATGAAGGATAATGATAGCCGCACAGTTGCATAGCCATCGTTCGCAGCTGATGCGGTGCGTGCATATTCTGCGCCCATGATATGAATTGCAATATATACTAATGTATGTATGTATGCATGTATGTACGCAGCTAGCAAGCAAGCTTAAAAGCGTTGTAAGCTTACACCAATATGTTTATGAGCTCGAGTGTTCGGCTTAAATGAGCCACAAGTGTTTAAGTGTTCGTCTCTCTAGGGAATTCTAGCTTCGACTATAATTTGCAGTTTTCCACTTAGCGGCAACACAGCTCGCATGCACTTTGATCACTTCAAGGGGAGGCTGGGTTGCGGTGAAAATTTAGCAGAGCAGCAAAGGAAATGCGTTGACTTCGAAGGAAGCTGTGCTACTTGGAAGGCACATTTTCTTGAGATTGAGGCCTGAGAGGGACGAAATTTGACATGATTTCCGCTCAATCTCTGATTTCACAGTATTTGGCAATTTCACTTTTCTTTTTTCTAAGAAGGGTAGCCTGCGCTCTGTTAAGTGAGTGGAAAACCGACTAAAAATCCATCAGTGCTCACCTCGGCACGTCTAAACCAACTACGGACTGTTATTCCTGAACTAATTCGTTCATTTGATTGTTATGTATTCTCTTCCCCGCATGGAACGGTTAAAATCTCTTTTTACATATAAATATGTGTCTACTCTTTCTCTCTGAAAATGCAAGAGATCGTTTTCCACTCAATCACTCTTATTTGTATTCTCTTCTTACGCTCACTCTTCGTAATGATTCCAAAAAGAAATGCTTGGCTCTTTTGCGGATTGCTTTTGTTGTAGTTGGCAGGTAGAAGAGAGGATAACGCCCATTGCATTTTCCTATGAACTGTTCTGTGAAGCTTAGGCGGAATATTTTCGGATGGTACATGTTTACAAACCTGAAGAAGTTAACGGGCATTAACATGAGGCAAATTTGTGAATCCGATTTACGAAATGAAGTGAAGCTCAAGATGTTTTTAATCTTTGTGACATCACAACGTTTGTGACTTATGTAGTCATGTGTGAGGTTCTTGTGATCAGCCACATTTCCCTAAGCAAATCTAACGTAGAGCAGTTATTGGACTAGTTTCAGTGCCATGTCTTCCAAAGACAATTTAGATTCAGTTCAAATGAAAAGAAAGAAGAAGCCAGCAGCTTTATGCATTTTTAATGAGAAATTTCGAAAAAATGCGCATGTGTTCTGGAGATAAATATTCCAGTTTAATTAACTATTAGAGAATCGACGCTGAAATAAATAGCAATCTTCAAATAAATTATTACTTTTATACAAACACATACATCCATAAATAATTATATGAAATCGCAACTAATTTAATTTATCGTTTTCTTTTGTTTTAGCTGTCAATTTTGTGCGACTGAAATACAAAACTAACCACTTTTGCCTGCGGTCCAGTCTCGGTGAGTCATTTTATGCGAATAAAATTTGCATTCACCATACACACATACCTACATTCATCCAACTACATATATGTATAAGTATCTGCATTATTAGCATTTGAACATTGGCTTTTAATGATTTTTAGAGATCGCATTGATTTCACTCAAAAAAAAAAAAAAAAAAACAGTTATCCAAAGCAAATGGTTAAACTATCGGTTAGTGGAGTTGAGTGCAAAGTTCGTATTAGTGGTCTTGAAAATATCTATACCGTTATGCAAATATATGCTCGCATACGCCATCGGCATGCGGTGACAATTCGTGTGACTCTCGTGTGAGCTGAAACAATCAGCATGGCGCTGACAGCCTGTCAACCACGCAGTGATGTATTTATGTATGTAAGTATGTGATTTCGGTGTGTGTTCCAGATTTGGTTGAACTGATAGGCGCATTTGAGACTGAATTGTGGCGCATAGAAAATTAGGCATACAAATTAATCACATGCACGACTTGTGCTGCCGACATACTGCCTACATACATACATCATACATAGATATCTTATACGATATAACCAAATCGAGGTTTATGGAGTTGATAGCCGATCAGAGGTCATACCCGTTGTAGAGCTTGTACTCCTTCATATTTACGTATATATATATATTATATATATATATATATATTTTATGTACATATGTTCATATGGACATATGTAAATGACCACACGAGTAAAAAATTAAGAATTCGAGACTTGATAGTCTTAAAAGCCAACTATAGGGAATTTTTGTTCAATCTTTGTTTTAACCTTTTTCACGAAAGCCCCTAATGCCCAATTTGGCCAAGCCCCATCAACACACATATATGTAGCGGTATGGATGCTACCGTATAGTTTGTAAAGGTCCTTACCAATTCCGACGGACCTTCCAGCGTCAGTTTGGGCAGATATATGAGTTTAACGGGAACCTTTTAAGACTAATCCCTTTCTTTTGATATAAAATCTTTTGATTGCGAGCGGAATCAGTTCAACTGCAAATTAGTGAAAGCGTGTGAACTGAATTTGAAGTTATCTCAAGCATAAAGCATTACGTGCTCAACACCAGACAATTGCTCATCACTAAATCACAATGCGACTGGAAAAAGAAACTGCTGAGAAGCAAGATTGGTCTGGAAGCTAGTGAAAAAGGCAAAAAAAAAAAAAAACTGAAATAAAAGAAAAACGATAAAATAAAAAAAAATCACTACGAGACAGTTACATATCAATTTACAATTGACTTATACCGCAGACCGAGTTGCAGAAGACAATAGCAGGTTGCTGTCTGCTGGAAATGTGTCGCAGCTACAATTGCAATTTTATCTGCATAAATGTAAATATTTGCAGATAAACTTGCATACATACATACATTTGGAAGTTGTTGATAGAGGCGCATAATAGGAAGAAAACAATAGCTCTCTTTTTTCAAACTCAAGTATTGTGAGAAAGCGTCTGGCGCTAAGAATAAATTAAAAAAGGAGATAGAAAGAAAAAAAAAACAAAAAAATAAAACATAAAACATAAACAATATTCAACGAAAAAAAATTAAATTAAATAAAAAATTAAAAGAGAAATTATAATTGAAAAACTGGACTGAATTAAAATAAAATTCCTTAAAAATAAATAACTAAAAAATATAAATAATTAAAAAAATAATAATTTAAAAAAAAAAAAATAATTAAAAAAAATAATTAAAAAAAAAATAATTTAAAAAAATGTATAATTGAAAAAAATGAATAATTAAAAAATATAAATAGTTAAAAAAAAAATAAATAATTAAAAAAATAGATAATTGAAAAAAATAATAATTAAAACAAAGTACATAAAAATTATTGTGAAAAAAATTTAATCAAATAAAAAATTTAAAGAGAAATTAAAATTAGAAAACTGGACTGAATTAAAATAAAATTCTTTAAAAATAAATAATTAAAAAAATAAATAATTAAAAAAAAAAACAAATAATTAAAAGAAAATAAATAAAAATTAGTGTGAAAAAAAATTAAATTAAAATTATAACGTATCTGTGCTCTTTTAACAAGTTCACACACTTTTTCACATATACAAATCCACAAGTTATTACTTTTATTTATTTTCACTTTCCCCAATTTATTTTTAACTCTTATTTGTTGAATAACAAAATATATTTTCAAGCATCTGTATTTGTAAAACAAAATTTATTTATATTTATGTATGTGCACACGTAAATATTTATATAGGTATGTGTATAAAGTTTTCGTTTTATTACTGTTTAAAGATTTCTTATAAAAGGAGCCATTGAAACCACCTGCCCCCGCTGAAGCACTTTTCTCAACTCCATTCTGCTGATCACATATGATCCAGCCCACGACTTCCAACACCACTAAACAATCACTCGTCTACAACATTTGCCCATCATTATTCAAAAATACTTCAGTAATTACTACTCAATATTCGCTCAGATATAAATACCGTAATGCAAGTGTTCGCTCTCTTTTCAAATAATAAAAAAATTTGTAATGTGATAATGTCAACCGAGTGGTTAGCTGACTGGTAGACTAGCGAGTACTTGAACATATAATGCACTTATATATATATATGTATGTGTGTTTGACTGCCTGCATGCCACGTCTACATAGTTTGGTGTCACATTAACAGATTGACTGCATTTTTATCTGAATTCCTTTCACAGCTGATTATGGTGATGAGAATGAAAAGCTGTTTTATTAGCGGCGTTCGCAGAGACTGTGTAAGGCAAATTATGAATGAACGGTGTATAATTGTAGGATTTAAATGATACACTCCAACACAAAAACATCGACATCACTCTTTTAACTAGGGTTAAGTACTTAGCTTACCTTCGTGGTTACTGCAATGATATAAACACTTTTAATTATGAACATGACGATGTGAGCATACCCTCGGAAAAATACTGACTAAAATCGGTATTCATCAGTGGGGGCAACAGCAGATGACGGGATGAAATCACAAGCAATGTAAGGAGTCAGATCTCAACATTGATCGAAGGGGTCAGGACCCAAATTAGCACATCAACTGACGCTGTGTTCTGCGGACTATTGTGGGTAAAATGGCCTAAAGCTCTGACGAATTCTGCCGCAGTTAAAGGGACATACGCAAGCAAAAGTCGGTAGTTTCAGCAAATACACTGTATGGTTGGAGACCTAAGCGTGCTTGATCAGGGTTACGTGAGCGAGGAATAATATTAATAAAAAAACGGCTACAAAATAAACACTTCTCTATAAATCTAATACGGCATTTCGCCATACAAATTTTCGTGAGCGAATTACAGTAAAAGTGGGTAATTCGTTCTCAATTGCTATGAGAATTACGACCAAATCGATGGCTTCTCTAATTCTTAACGAATTTTTATCGAAACCAGCTGACAAATCAAAACAAAAGAGAGGAGAATTATGAAAGAAGATGTTTGTGTGTCAGACATATTTATATATTAAAGAAGAAAAAAATTAGAAATCATTGAAGAAACTGTCATTAGATTACCAATACAATGCGAGATTTTGTTAACTTCTACTAAAATCTCTCATTTTCTATATTTTTTCAAATGGAACAAACAAGCCAAACCGAAAACTATCAAACTGCGTGCCGTCTGAATGGGTCTAATTCGCATTCGTGATTGAGAGAGCGAAACACGTAGTTGGGTAGTAGTTGTAGTCGTGGAAATGTCGTATAAGTTGGAAATTGATGAGGAAATAAAATCAACGATTGAATTATTTGCACCAACTTGAAATCATCGATAACTTTTTGCCACGTCTAGCCTCAAAAATAAATCAAATAATATTAAAACTAAATTTTTTTTACAGAAGTGTGTGTTTTCATTGTGTACAAAAATACTTTTGTTTTGACATTTTCGTTGATTGCTTGAATCAGTCTCTGAACCAAGCGCGCTAAGCCTTATGAACTAGCAATTTTGGCGAAGCGCTTACTCAGCTGACAGTTCAATAGACTTTGAAGTACTTATATGTAATTATCGTTCAAGTGCTGAGTGGGTAAATATTTACCTAAAAGCCATAAAAAGTACTGTTGTGACGTGGGCGTCGCCTAATAATATGCGATAGTTAAAAGTGGGATGATGAGTTTTTTTTGGAAAAGGTGCACAAAAGTACGAAAACAGAAGAAATGATTAAAGAGATTTTCAAATTTTTTGAAAATGGGATATAGAAATATGTATATGAAAGTAGAGAACAAAAATATTTGGTGACTGAAAGTATTTTCAAAATTAAAAAGAAATGGAAATATTGGGAAAATAATTAATAATAATAAATTATGTGAACTTTTGCAAATTTCATGAACCCTTACTTAAAACCGCTTTTCCATTTAGTTTTCAATGTAATTTTATCCTCACGACATACACAGACACTGCAATGCATATAAAAGTATAAACTCGGCCCCCCTAAACTGTATTTAACATAACTTTCAAATAAATGAGAATAAATTACCCGCCATCAATCAGAAAAAATCCGCCAACGAATTCCCCAATGTTGTTCGGCAACAGCGCGTGGCTCCAATCATTCACTCATTTCACCACTGCCACCATGCCATGCCGCAGGCGTTTGCACAATAACGATAAGTAACAGTAGCAATGGCAAAATATGCACTTGCCGCCACTCACCGTGCCACTTATGTACGTACATACGAATGTTAGCTTCTGCTATGCTACACGAGGCAGCAGGGTCGACAGAGAGAGAGCAAGAGGAGTCGCACTTATGATCATCAAAGTCATTGTCAGTGGCTCGATGGTGGGCAACCAACCAACCAATCTCCAAAACAAATACAAGATCGACGAAAACGTCCAGCACACTATAAGCAGCAACAACAACTGCCCACTGCAATATCAAAACAATTCATCATCAAGTGTTGACAGTGCGGCCGCCAAGAGTCGCCACCATTTCTGCTGCACTTTGATGTGCTCGCGTCGTGCCGCGCAGGCGGCGCAGACATGCAGCAAAAACCTGTTGTCCACCGTTCAACTCAATTTAAATATACGAGTACATAGTTGCGGACATGAAAGGCTGCAGCAGCAACAGCACAGCTAATAAAAATTATTGCGTAAATAATACTCAATTCAAATTTAATTGCTGATCGCCGCTAAAATACCAACTTGAGATATCAACAATCGGCGGCAAGCAATAATTGCTTGAATAGCAACATGTTGTATGGAATGCTTACTGGCTGCCACCACATCTGCATACATTCTATTTGTCTACAGATGCATTCATGTGGGTATTCAGACTATGTGGCAAGTGTCGCATAAAAGTCGCATTGAAATGTAATTATTATCTTTCAGAAGTTCGCGTCGAAAGTGCCATCACTGCTGTTGTTGGGGCAAGTGATTCGGCTTTGACTATGGCACGCGATGAATTATTTCGCAACTTTGCTAACTGAGAACTGGTATTTGCGGGCATGACAGTGTCTGGGGTAAAATTATCGCCATATTAACTGTGAAGAGCAAAATACAATAAAAAAATATATATTTCGAAAAAAAAAAATATTAAATTTGATAAAAAAAAATTTAGATACAATAATATATTAATATATTTTAATTTATTTTAATATATTCTATTCAATTTAATGTGATTGAATTTAATTTAATTTGATTGAATTGAATTTAATGTAATTTAATTTAAATTAATTTAATTTAATTCAATTTATTTTTATTTTATTTTATGTTATTTTATTTTATTATATTTATTTATTATTTTTTTTTAAATTAATTAATTTAATTTAATATAATTTAATTAAACTTAATTTAATATAATTTAATTTTAAATTAAATTAAATTTAATTTAGTTCAATTTATTTTAATTTTATTTTATGTTATTTTATTTTTTTATTTAAATTAATTAATTTAATTTAATATAATTTAATTTAATTTATTTTAATTTAATTTTATTTAATTTTAAATTAAATAAATTTAATTTAATTTAATTTTATCTTTATTTATTTTCTTTTATTATAAATAAACAAAATACAATATGAAAAATACCTATGCATTCATGGGCCAAATAGTTAAGCTTGCATTCATATTGGATAAACCCGAAATGAATTAAAACAAAAGGACAAAATAAAAAGTACATAAAAAATAAATAACTAAAACTAGGAAGAATGACGAAATACAAAAGTTAATATAGCCTGAAAACAACAACAAACCCGCCACACATTTCACACACAGCGCAACAGGTACAGCCCAAACGCCGCTCGCTCAGTATGTATATACATATATATAATAATATAATATATATCAGCGGCAGGGACTATGTTGTCATCTCCACGCATGCGTACAAACGTTTTGTTGGTTCATTTAATGTATCGTCGTCGTTGTCGTCTTCGTTGTTCATACCAAGAAGCGCATGTTGATTAGATTATGCAGGCGGAGCGGTCCTATGCAATGGAGCCGGCAAACCTTGTAGCAGGTGTAGCAGGCGTACAACATATGTGTAGGTATGGGCCTATATCTACCTGTTTGTGCATTTGTAGGTATGTAGTTATGTACGCAACTCATTGGCCCCTTCCTGATGTTTTAATCAGTTACTGCCTATCCTGTCTGTCGGTCCACCGGTCGGGTTGCTTGGAGCCGCAGCCACTACTGCTCTTTGCATCTGAAATCTCGCTCAGGACTTAGCTCAGTTGCTCACTTGCAACTTGTTGAATTAATGACGCAACATGACTTTGCTTGCGGAGTCGAAAAAACCAGAGGCGTGTACATTTAATAAGATTTATTAGAACATTCGTTGTTCTTGCTGCTGCTGCCAGTAAGTGGCTGGTACACTGGTGCATTGTGGACGGACGGCAGGTGGATACTCCAATTTAGCTGCTTAGTTGCTGTTAAAATGTTTGCGATAAATTGTCAAATTAATCGCCTGGCCACTTTGGTAAACCAGCGCACCAGCGCGTCCTCTCGTTTGCTTTGCGGGCGCCTTTCCATTGCGTTTGCTAAGTAGTGGCAAAGTGCGCTATTAATTTCGCTTCAGAAGATGTTTTCGTGCCGATTATTGACATTTGAGATATATATGAGTTGATGGCGTTGGCTTTGGAAATTCGATCTAATTAAAACTGAGGCGCACAGGGTTAATGGCAATAGGTGAAGGCAATTTTTGAATTTTTCAAGATTAGTTTTCAATTAGTTGATGGGCGTTATTTGGTTACAAGATTCGGTTAACCAAGGGAGTCAATATTCGTGAGGCAGAGATCAAGGATTCTGTGTAGTAAAAGGCTTATTAATTGAGGCCTTAGATTAATTAATTACATAATCAATAATATTTTATTTCTATTTATTCTATATTTTGTTCAAAATAAAATTGAATATTTTTTAGCGCTCTTTATCAAACGCAGCGATTTTCGTTCGAACTACGCTCGAAGGGGTCGAATTATCCCCCGAGGGCGACCAAATTATTTATTATATTATTTTGCTTATATTTTTTTCCACAATTTTGGATGTTGCTCTGATCGGTATTTGAGTCCTTGACCTCTGTGACTTGGCTATAAAAGTGATTATTTTTATTTAATAGCAAATCATTTTATATTTTTACATATTCCTGTTGTTTATTTCACAAATTTTAAGAATTTTTTTTTGGAAAAAATATCGAACTCTCTTCGCTTCTTACTGATTATTAGAATTTTTGTGTTGTCGGTCTCAGGCTATTGTTTTCTTCAGTCAAAGCCACAAAATACATTACATTAGCTTTCCTCTTGAATTTCAGAAAGAGACTGGCAACCCTTTGCCGGTATATGTTCGAACTTAGATTTTCCAGAAACACACTTTTTCTCAATAGTTTCAGTATCCTTTCAATAATTTCTACTTCCGCTTTGCTCTATTTTAACGCTTAACTATTATTTGAAGGAAACCAGTTAACATAACACATGTAAGAGGTCGCGCTAAAGACTTGTAAATAGTTTTCTTCTTCTTCTAGATCATCTTGGCAATTGCCAAGAAATATTGTTGTCAGAAATTTTATTCTTAATGACTGCAGTACATTTTTCCGCTCCGCCATTACCCAGATATTTATTTGAGTTTCTAAGCAACTGTAAATTGCTGGCGTGCTGCAGTAAATTGCTGAAGACATATTAGCTTTCGCCAAGATTTATGAGCCGCTTGTTGGCGCAGAGAAAATCCAACAAAGACTACTCTACTTTTGTTCTTAAGTGCCAATTGCTCTTTCATTTGCTTTGCTACTTATTTTATTGCATTTCAATTCTAAGTATTCTTCTCCATTTCTCTTGCAGGCGATCGCAAGCGATTAGAGGCAATTGACAAATGGAATTTGTGGCAGCAAGCGCCGGCGAACTAGCCACTGTGGAAGCCAGCATGAAAGCAGCTGCTATTGAAGCAGTGATCCGCTCATTATTGCTTGCCACTGTTGCTTGTAGCTGGAGCTTGTCAATCACATAGCAGGAATTGACACAAAGCGACACGAGTGATTGGCTCCAACTTTTGGAACGGGTATGTGGCAAGGAAAATGGAATGATATATTTGGTATGTTGCAAAGAAACAGTAAATTTTTACGTGCGCATGCATGTGTGTGTTTAAATGTTTTACAGTTCGATTCGCTGTCAATGCAAGCCAACGACCACTTCCTGTCTTCAGTGTGGTCAGCGCGCGCTCAGCGGATGTGGTGAACGGGCTAACCAGTTTGCGTTTAATTGTTGAGAGAAATGTTAAGAAAAAAAACCATAAAAGTTCTTGAGGCAGATTTTGTATTGAAAAGTTCAAAAGTATTATTTTTAGAAGAATATTGACTTGAAAAAAATTAATTATAAATTTTCACAGCCTACAAATAATGCACTGCGCAATATAATTTATTAATTAAACAAATTAGTCTTTATTTGCCGGAAATTTGCTTAATTAGCATTGATTGAAATTTTAATCTGTCTTGTTTTTTCTCATTTTTGAACCTTTTTGCTGCAAAATTTTTACTTAAAAAAAAAAAATTATTTTTAATTAGCAACCAACAATTTGGCTATCAGCAAGTCCATTTCTGTTTAACTTTTTTAATTGTCCATAATCTTTGCTTGATTATACAAAGTTGCCGATAGCAAAAAAGCTGAAGTATTTCAAAAAAAAAAGAAGAAAAAAAAAACAAAAAAAAAAGAAGAAAAAAAATGGTTTGAAAAGCAGAAAAACAATAAGGCAAAGAAACATTTCCATACAAAAGAAATATACACAGACATACTTTTGTATGTATATATGTATATATGTTTGGCTATGGCAGCTTAAATGGTTTACATATAACTGAAATACACTAATAATCATATGAATGATTGTCTTCTTGTTGAGGCAAATTGGTATTAAAGTGAAAAATTGTTAAACAAAGCAACACTTAAATGCTTATACACGTATGCACGATTGTGAAGCGGCTAATGATAACGGTAGTGGCCATAGAAAACTATAATAAAAAAGTAAAATTGAAAGACAAACTGAGCTCAGGCTCAAACTTCAGAGAAAGCTCTACTTTTACACCACTCACCACAAAAAGATCTCTCTCTCTTCAAATATTCGAAAATAATGTCTAATTTATTAGAAGCGCGAAGCATTTTTCTAACAAAGTCAGCAACAATAAATGGCGGCAAACTAATTAATCATTATTTGTGCTCAGAGATGAATAGCTAAACGACCACAAAGCAATCAGTCAAATAATTCAAATAATAAAAAAAAATAATAGAAGGAATATATATGCATACATAAAAGGAGAAATATATATGTATATATACCGCAGCGTGTTTTTTATACACACTTAAAAGAAGTTAACTTGATAAGTATCGATTCGGCAATATTGAGCTCAGTGAGTGAAATAAAAATCTTCCGATTTTTTAAATAGTTTTTTTTTTTTTAATACTTGCTCTTTATTTTTCTTATTTATTTACAATTTATATTTATATTTGAATACTTTTTCTTGCTGTTTCAATTGCACCCGAAGTAATGTTTTTCAAAATGTTCCAAAACCATCACATCATTTTTGGCACTTTCCCTCCAGCTTGAGCATACCATACAGCAAGGCACTCTCCCATAGATACAGACCTCTAATAGTCTCATTCCGCACGCCAAGCACCTCTGGTTTGCAAACTGGTTTCAACAATGATTCATCAAGCATCCGTCACATGGTAGAATAACAACAACAACAACAACAACAACAATCAAATAACAGGCAGTAAACAGGCTAACAACAGGTAGCTGACAACAGTAAAGCAATGAAAAAAAAAAAACAGAAACAATTGTGATACAAAACAAAGAGTCTGAAATAGATGAAAGAAAAAAGTAACATTACAGTCACAATCCCAAGCGAACTCTTTGTGTTGGTCAGTTAGCTTCGCTTTGCTTTGCATTGCTTCGTTTCACATTCGACTGACACGACCACCACACAATTACATCCGGTAATTTAATGTAATTTTAGATTTTTCTCATTTAAATTGCATGCAATGGCAAAAAATAAAAATGCATACATAAATATATATGAAAGAAAACCATACACACATACGGCTATGTATCTACATGTATAACAGTACAAGCAAAAAATAGTAAATAAACTGGCCAAAGTGATAGTAAAATTACTAAATCGTTATAAAAACTATGGCTGCTTGTAGCAAATAAAATTAATTTTTTATTGTTAAGTTCAAACGCAAAGCAATTTCAGAACCACCACCATTAGTAATCGTACTCGGCTGATCAGTCAATCATAACAAATTAACGCTCAATTCTTTAATTATAAAATAAAATAAAATAATATAAAATAAAATAAAATAAAATAAAATAAAATAAAATAAAATAAAATAAAATAAAATAAAATAAAATAAAATAAAATAAAATAAAATAAAATTAAATAAAATTAAATAAAATAAAATTAAATAAAATAAAATAAAATCGTAGATTTTAGTTATCTATTTAAAGTTGGCCTCTGCTGGTTACAACAAATCACTTCTATTAGCAGACTTTAATACCATCTTTACGTTATATTGCTTTTGCACCGTTATGGTGCTGGAGGGACGTGTTGCTATTTTATATACGTCTATACCACTTAAATGGTCTGATCTAATAAGCATTTAACCTTATAAGCCCAATTGACCATTTAAGCCATTTTGGTTCGCCACTTTGGGTTTAGCCTATTTGGTAGTTCAGGTGGTTCATCAGATTGGTCGGCTGTCCATACGCTACAAACTAACAATGTAAACGAAGAAAATGAAAAGATTAGATACTGCGAGTGTTTACGTGCCACATTTCAAGCTGTGTACGCTTTGTATATTTGTGAGCTTGCCAGTCTTGACTTCAAATGATTAATGATCTGCATGGCACATCCAAACTGTTTTCTATTGCCATATCTAATTTATTTTTCTTTCACGAAAGGATGGCAAACAAATTAGTGTGCACGATTTTTTTTTTTTGGTGTTTCTCAACTCGATTTTGTCTTATTGAAAAGTTGTTGCTTTCTAGAGGCAATTAAAAAAATATGCGCTATTTGTCTAGAGAAATTATAAGAATAGTTAGAGTTGTTTGAAGCTAAAATGTGATGATAGAAAACTATAATTAAAACAACTAAGCTGAATTTTAAAAGTATGAATGTTTTTGTTCGGAGTTGGAAATGTAAGAGATAGAAGAAAAATTAAATGGACGGTACAACATTTATTATATCCACATAATTAAGAGGGAAGAAGCTCGAAACAAGTTTAATGAATTCAGGTGAAATTTAAAGCAATTATATGTTTTTTTTTTTTTTGGAAAAATAAGATAAATTCTTCACTCTTTCACTTGCTTACTTTTCCATAGAGAATTACTTGAAAAGTAAATTCCATGCACAAGTTGCACATTTTACTACTCGCGACTAATAGCAGCCAAATCTGAGATTTCGCCTGACCAAATGAGGAAAATGTTTGTAAGCCTGCAATAGTAATACAACAACAACAACCAAATGTTCGTTTGGCTGATTTTGCAGTCAGAAAAAGAAAATACAGGGTGACTCTAGATGGAAAACTACAGCCAAAATGGTAATAAACTTCTGTATTGGCCATAACTCCGTTTTAGCTAAGCGGCTGACACGATTCATGCATTTCCAAAGAGCAGAAAAGCGATCAATGGAAAAAAGGTAATCAAAAGTCTAGTGAAGGTTAGCGGGCGATGCCGTTCTTATATGCTGTACAAATGTAAATTCAGTAAAAGGAGAAAAGAAAGCAGTAACAATTCAAATATAAATATGGACACAGAAAGGCAGTAGAATGGCGCATGCAAATAAGCCGTAGATAAAAAGAAAGCAATAGAGCTTGGGCATTAAAACAGTGTTTAGAGAGCTTTTTGTTGTTTTAATTATTATTTTTCTCTTTGCATTCAGCGCCTCTTGCGCGTAGCTCCTCAACGGTGAGATGGAGTCTTAGAAGAAAAGGAAAAAATATTCAATTAATGCACTTTAGCAAGACCAACACATACATAGTTTGAGCTTATCAATTTTCGCTTTTAACATTTTGCTTGTGACCACAAATTTTATTACATACTAAACATGTACATATGTCTTTTTTTTTTGTTTGAAACAACCGCTGAGCAATAATTCGCCAAAGAAATGAAGAAACTGCACAACCGTTGCTTAAATACACAGCATGTGTATGTATGTACATATGACTACATGTAAATATTTTTTAATGAAAGAAAAGAGAGTGGCTTATCTTGATGCAGTTATTTAGCTTCACTAGCGGTAAAATCTGTAGTTACTTCGTCGAGTGCCTACAAGACACTGTTGTGCTAGCGCGCATAAATTCATATAACTGCATACACACATATTTAGATATATATGTGTGAATATGTATACACTCTTATCGCGCCAAAGTGACCATTACGTTGACACTTTTAAGTGGCAATTTTACGTTTAAATATGACAAGCCATTTCATGGTCGCACTCATTTGACATAAAATCGATGACAAAGTCGACGATAAAACTTTGTTTAATGACTGTGCGTCTGCTGTACGGGACTCGTGTTTGCCTATATGTTTGGTTTATGTGTTGTATGAGCATGAGAAACGAATAGCGGTTCCACATGGGAAAATAAAATGAATGAAAGTTACGGAAATAAAAATAAAAAGAGTTAATATATATAAATATATATATATGATATATAATGGCGTAAAGAAGAGAGAAAAATGAAATGAAAAAGCATGGTAAAATAAAAAAAAATGAAAATAGGGAAAAATTAAAAATACAGAAGGAAAGTAAAAAAGGTGAAATTGTGGTTAAAGAGTAAAAAATATATAAAAAATTACCTGAAGCTGATATTAAGAAATATTATAAAAAGAAGATGTTGAAAAAATGTTTTGCTCTGCAGAAGACTTAAATTAAAATGATAAAATAAAAACTGATATTAACGTAAGTAAAATGTTTAACGAAATAGATTTGTAAAGAAATATAAAAAATTATGAAACTTTGAATTACTAATTAAACTGAGTTAATTTTTTTTTAATTTCAAACAAAAAAACTACAAAAAAAATATATAAAAAATTTGTAAATATTAAAATTAATTTAAAACCCATTTAAACTTGGGAAAAGCCATGAAAATAAAATTCTAACACAAATTAAAGATAAATAATACAACAACTCAAGAAAAAATACAAAAAATATATAGAAAAAAAAAATTAACAAATAGCTGTAAATAAAAAAAGAAAAAATAATAACAAAATTAATTAAATAAAAAAATAAATAACAATAAATGATAGATAAAGAGATATTTATTCTAAAATACTTAAAGTGAAAGTAAACAAAAGTATATATTATTTGATAGCTGCAACAACATTAATTTTTAACGCCAACACTTCCTAAAATAATTTGGCAGCATTTTAGTACTTTTCAAATTAAATTTCATGACTTTTCAATTAAATTTAATTAAAAAAGCTCGATTCAACTAAGCGCACTCACGCCATGTGATTTGGAAGTAAAACCACAAAAGATCTAAGCAACGAACTCAATTAGCACATGCCCGGGAGGGAGGGAAGCAAAAAAGAAGTGACAATCAGCAATGACGTTCCAGCTGGCGTTTTCGCTATAATTATTACGATGAACACTTCATGACTTTTCAATTAATTCGCTGCGGAAATATAAAGTCAACGATAAGATGCCTTCAGTTAATCGCCAATTTCTATTGTATTCAGCTGAAGTGAAATGACTGTAAAGTAAAAACTCACACGCTCTTCTCGTTTCTCGTTAGTTTAAGTACTTGTTTAGGGCATCACTCTTTGGTGATGTGCATTGACTATCGGTTAAAATGAGTTTTGCAAAATAAAGTACAAAGTAAAAAGTAAAAAGTAAAAAAAAAAATAAAAATTAAAAAATAAAAAATATCAAAATACAAATAAAGTAAAAAATCTGGTGGGCGAGTGCCTATTAGACTGAGTAAATGTCTGACTATTTTCTTGTGGGTGTGTGTTGTTAGACGATTTTTTTAAGAAGCAGTTTTCTATAGCGGCGTGTTGTTGCTATGGTTTGCAATTGTTTTGCATATGCAGGTAAATAAACTTATTACACGCTTTTATAGCCTACGAATCACCGTACTCTTGTGTATACCTAAGGAGTGCTGCCATAATTGTAGTAGACAAATAAGAAAGCAATAACTACGATGCAATTGTTATATAAGCAAAAGGCGAAGTCAAAGCCAAAGATCAAATTAAAAATAAAGACAAACTAGCTTGGATAATAATAAATTTAAAAAAAATAACAATTGTCTAGTTATTTGACTTTTTTTTGTAGAAAATCAATTGCAAAAGCATTTGAATTTAAATATAATAAGGAATTTTTATATAAATATATCAAAAAAAGATTAATTTTTAAAATGTGTTTATTTTGAATTTTTAGTGTTTTTATATTTTTTATATATGTTTTAATCCCATTTCATTTTTTTAAATTTGATTTTTAATTTTATATTTTTTTTTTACTTTTTTCAACAAACTCTCAGAAATTGTTGCTTACAGGCTTAGTATTTATTCAGAAAGTACGCAATTCGAAACAGTATTTGTACAAAATATCTAACTGCACACATTTATCTATTTCGTACCTATTCGCCTTTCAAGTATTTCTGTTAAATTTTTTTTTTTTTCATTTTGGCTTTATTTTGTTTTGTTTCACCTAATTATTTAACTTTTTGAGAAAGTCATGAAAACTGAAAATTAGTCACGATTTTTCTCGCTGTCGTTTAATTTGTTTTTGTGTTTAGTATATTTCTCATTTGCTACGTTCACTTTGAGCTATTGTTATTGCTCGCAATTAAATAATTATTTTTTTCTAAATTTTTTTTTTTTTAACTTGAGCGATTACTGCTTGATTACGCTCGTTAGTTGTGCGTCATGTTTCGCTTTTTTTCTACGCTTATTATCTATTTAAATTTAAAAGTAAATTGGTGCGGAAAATAGCTTACGAAGGGACTCAGAAAAAAACTCATAAAGAAAAAACAGATGTTTTTTTTTAATTATTATTTATTAAAAAAAATTAACTTAGCGATTAACGTGCAACTAAGTTGGAAAATTTTTGTAGACATTTTTTTCCTCACGTAGATTTGGAGAAAGTTGATTGTTTTGAATAAAATTAATGTGTGGTTTTTGAGAAATCTCCTTTTCCATGGGACACAACTTGTACTGAAGACACATTTTCACATCTCTTGCGACTTCTATTTATTGCTGTTATTTATTTATATTTAATTTTTGTTTGTCAGAAAAATACGTATATATATTGTACATGCATAC